GGACACTGGGAAAGGAGAGAAATGATCTCTGCAAGTTGTCCTCGGACTTCCGCAAGTACTCTGTGGTTCACAATCCCCAAGTCTTAAATAAATAATGTAATAAGGATGGGAGAGGTAGCTAAGTGGTTAAGAGCACTTGCTGCTCTTAGAGAGGACCTGGGTTTAGTTCCCAGCACCCACACCAAATGGCTCACAGTGCCTGTAACTCCAGTTCTAAGAGATCTGACACCTTGTTCTGGCCTTCAGAGGTCCCAGCACACACATGGTGCACACAGTCAAGTCCATACAGAAACACAGAAAATAAAAAAAGGAAATCTTGTTTATTTAAATAATCAAAGATTTAAAGATAAAGAATCTTTTCTTTAAAAAACTTTCTATAAGATTCTACAGCATAGTTTTGATAAGTAAAAGTCAAAACAACTGAAATAATTTCTACAAAATAAGGACAATCATACATTAGAAAGGAGGCAGATTTGTGACTGAAAATGACACATCTGTGCATCAGAGCCCTGGAACATTCTCCTTCTCAGCCTTGAGCAAGACTGTTGGTTCATAATTATTTGTTAAAACATGCATTCACTCTTTTAATCATGTTAATTTCAACATGCAAAAATAATTTTTAAAAGCTGGGTGATAGTGGCACATGCCTTTAATTCCAGCACTCAGGAGGCAGAGGCAGGAGAATCTCTGTGATTTTGAGGCCAGCCTGGTCTACAGAGTGAGTTCCAGGACAGCCAAGGTTACACAAGAAACTCTGTCTCAACCTCCCCCAAAATAATAATAATAGCAATAATTTTAAAGATACAATAACAGCATTCCTGCTCTAAGAAGTCCTGCCTTGTCTTCAGAACAGGGCTCCACACCAGATCTCCCTTATTCTTTCGCCAATTTCCCATGAATTGATTTGAAATGAAGCAGGTTAGCTATTTTTTAGGGTTCTTTTTGTATTTCCTTCAATAGCCTTAAGGTTTTATCAAATAACTTATCACAGTATTTTTAAATGTATATTTTCTTATTTATATAGAAGGTAAGTTGATAGTAGAGAATAGGTAGAAAGACAGACAGACAGACAGACAGATAGATGACTGGTATACAGATGATAGGTAGGTGACTGATAGATGATTGATAGATACATATGTGAGTTAGAGATGATAGATGATAGATAGATAGATAGATAGATAGATAGATAGATAGATAGATAGATGAATGGACAGATGGATGGACAGACAGATAGGCAGATAGATAGATTCCTATGAACACTGCATTTTCAGAATTCTGGAATAATAGGATCCCAATTATCTTACTTTTTGTGGCTCAAAAGCTTCCAGTTTCTATGGTAATGCACCACCTCCAGCCATACCTGATGTTCTAAAATCTCTCCTAATTGGACTGTGACATTTGATTTCAAATCCTCAGTATGAAGCTGAGTGAACTGCCCATCCTTTTGACAGTGTGTTTTACGGTGAAACACAAACAGCTCTGCTTCCAGACTGCACATCAAGCACGTCTGGAGTACGTTGAGCATTCTGAGAGGAGCGGCAGTACTGTCATTTGGTAGAACTACCCACAGGCAGGAGTGGATGTGGGTGGATGTGGGCAGCATCTATCCCCAAGAGGGCAGAGACCTGGGCAGAGGTCAGGCATCTGGAGATGCCAGAGGGACTCCTATTTACAGCCTGCTTTCCAACACGATTTTGGGTCGTCACACAGAGCAGCGGGACTCCAGTGAGCACCGTTGTATCTTCAGCCTGTTTTAAGAAACAGGGAATGAGGAATCACAAGTACTTTGTAATTTGCCCCTGATTTGCCTTCTGTGTCTCTAGTGAATGTGCTTGTCTGCAAGAGTTTTTCCTCACCAGAAGACTGAAAAGAAGAAAAAGAAATACAAATTTGATGTGGGAGGACCTTGTCTGTGTGTTGCTTTTATTGGTTAATGAATAGAGAACTGCATTGAGCCGATGGCAGGGAAGAACAGCACTAGGCAGGGAAAGCTAGGCTGTATGCTGGGAGAAAGAAGAGCAGAGTTAGAAGCCATGGAGCCACCGGAGATAGACGCTGGGAACTTTACCCAGTAAGTCACAGCCACGTGACCATATACACAGATTAATCGAAATGGGTTAAATTAATATAAGAGTTGGCCAATAAGAAGCTAAAACTAATGGGCCAAGCAGTGATTTAATTAATAGAGTTTCTGTGTGATTCTTTCAGGTCTAAGCTAGCCGGGTGGCTGGGAACCAACTAGTGGTCTCCTTCCTACAAATTGTCCACCCATCTCAGGCATCACCAAGAAGCCTCTCCAGCTCTCAGGCTAGCCCTCCAGGGCTGAGCTGAAGAGACTGTCAAATGAGGTCAGAAGGCCCCGTCAGGCCAGGGAGACCAATGGCACAAAAGAGATGTCCATCATTGCCTGCTATTCTCTGCAGGATTACTCTGTAGCTGTTTCCCATAGAAGCATTCCCTTCTGGAGACTCCCAGACTCACCATATGCACAAGAAACTTACAATATCCACCAGGCCCTTACCTGAGGTCTGTAGCAATGAGGGGGGGGAGCCTCTTTCCCAGCTGTTTGCCTGCAGGGACCTCCAGGGTACAGTTTACAATTCTCACTCATGCCGAGTTGGGCTTCTTTCAGCGCTACAATCGCCTCAGTGAACCATGCTCCTGGAAGCAACCACACACAAACACACACACACACACACACACACACAAAAGCTCCCTGCATCACCTAGCTGGACTTGTTGGAAATCTCTCCTAGGCCTGGGTGAAGAGGAGTTTCTGTGTAATTCCCCAGGACAGGTAACAGCCAGAATGAAAGAACCAGCATCAGAGACGCCAGCTTTCACACTGGCATCTGCCCTGTGTACCTGGCTAGTCTGTTCCAGTCCTAAATACACAATGTATTAGCTGCTTTTCTGTCACGATAAAACACAATGACCAAGGCAATTTAGGGAAGGAAGCGTTGACTTTGGCTTAGAGTTCCCTAGAGATGAGTCCATTGTAGCAGGCATGACAGCAGCATGGGATGGGGAATATTAATAATTCCCATCATCAGCCAGGTGGTGGTGGCGCACGCCTTTAATCCCAGCATTTGGGAATCAGAGGCAGGCAGATCTCTGGGAGTTTGAGGCCAGCCTGCTCTACAGAGCAAGTTCCAAGACTGGCTCCACCGCTATAGGAAAAAAAAAAAAAAAAGGTCCCATCATCATCAAATGCAAGCACAAAGGAGAAAGAGAAAAACAGAGAGAGAGGGAGGGAGGGAGGGAGGGAGGGAGGGAGGGAGGGCAAAGGAGCAAACTGGAAGTAGATCAGTAGATCCAGGGTTTAAGCTCTCAAGGCCTGATTCCAGGGACATGTGACCTCCAACAAGACCACCCCTAAACCTCCCCCGAACAGTGCTACCAACTGGGAGCTGAATGTCCAACTACAGGAGCCTATGGGGAAATAGCTCTCCTGCGAACCACCACACATAGCCATCATTCTAGTAGCACGCTGGACACTGAGAACTCTCCGGCTCCACATGTCCAGAGACTGCACCATGGAGGAAGCTGTGCTACCTTACCTCCCTCTTCCTGACAAGCCAGCAAGGGTGCAAACCAGTAAGGACAAAGCAAAGGAGAGCAGTTGGCTAGTGCCCAGCCTTCCACTGTGCGTGAGACTCGGCCCATTAATGTGCTCCTATACTGTCATCGAGGTGAGAAAGGACAATCACATCAGCACATTCCCACCACCCAGGCACAGCCCTGTAGCCATGATAACACACGTGGAAAAGGCAGGGCCTTCCACAACCTTCTTCTTCCAGGTATGAGTCTTACCTATATAAAGAGTAGCAGCAACGTTTAAGGTCAACTGGAGGCTTCAGCATATCAGATACTGTGGTGTGGGAGGTCCTTCTGTATATGTGTTGCTCTTATTGGTTAATGAATAAAGAAATTGCTTTGGCCTGTGATAGGGCAGAATAGAGCTAGGTGGGAAACCTAAACTGAATGCTGGGAGAAAGAAGGCAGAGTCAGGAGAAGCCATGTAGCCCCACCAGAGACAGATGCCAGACAGAATTTTACCCAGTAAGCCACAGCAATATGGCAATACACAGATTAATGGAGATGGGTTAGTTTAGGATATGAGAGCAAGCTAGGAATATGCTTAAGCTATTGACCAAACAGTATTATAAATAAGATAGTTTCTGAGTGGTTATTTCCTGGTCTGGGCATCCAGGAACAAAAAAGCGACCTCCAAAAACAATGCTCTCTACTTATCATGACATTTATAGACAAAATGTTTGTTCCCTGAAAATTCCTGACTTCCAGTTCTTTAGAATAACATAACTACATTTGGAGACAGGACCTTTAAATGAGTCAAATGAATCAAAATAAAGTCCTCTGACTCTAAACAGAAGCAATAGAACCAATGACCTTGCAAGAAGAGACTAGGGGAAGGACACTGGGTGCGGGATGGGGAAAACACCATGGCAGGAAGAACATCTGAAAGCCATTCAGAAATGCCTAAAAATAAGCCAGGCCTGCTGTCATCTTGATTTCATATTCCCAACCTCAAATACTGTGACAATACAAATTTCCGCTGTATAATCCACCCGCTCTGGGGTCATTTGTTAAGACATTCCAAACAAATAAACAAATACAAGATATAATTACCAGACAAATTGACTTAGTTAATGGACATTTCGATGAAACCAGGACCAGTCTATGATGCCATTTTCTAAAAATGATTGCTGAGGTCACCTAGGTGACGAGTTGGGAGATGATCTGAGGAACCCTCCAACTCAAACTTCAAAGCAGAAAGCCTATGCATGCACTATGCTGTGTACAACCAGCCAAATTTTGGGCCACTGGCAACACAAAGCTGTCTCCCCTAGTTTAAACAGAATAGAACTTTGAGATGCAGTGTGCAGAACCACTGTGAGAACTGCAGGGGCAGGGATGGTGGGCACACACCTGGGATGGATGGGGCAGGATGCCATCCCCCTTCTCCCAGGTCCCTCATACCTGTAATGATCTCTACTCTCACTGCCGGGAGGAGCATCCTGCTGGTCCTCAGGAGGATCTCAGTTCAGCCCCCAGACTGGTCCAGCTGGTGAAGGATTTGCCACCATGTGCCCAGGCACTGTTATAGGGAGGAAAGAAGGTGGAGTAAAGAGTGAGCAGCTACTTATATGGTTGGAAGATGCCCCATTTGCCTGGATTCAGCCTCCAAAGTGGGATATGGGTTCATTCTCCCAACACACTCAAAAGATGGAAAAGTCCCTGAATACTAGGAAGAGATTTCAGTGCCGAGCAGCCAAGAGGAAACCTTTGGAAATTCTCCTGCATGGTACAGCCATAGAGCATAGGGGTCTGGGATTGATGCAGGAATTTGGGGTGCTATGGGATCTTTCACCAGCTAAGTGAGGGACCCCAGCCTGGGCCCAGTCAAGGAAATGATCACAGACTGTTCATATGTTCCCCACCCACTTAGGGGTGGCTGAAGTCCCACTCTTTCCACCTCTGACCTGTGGTTTGTTCGCTGCTGACCTTGACTGTCTGCTACTGGCAGGGCTGGCTGCCATACCTTTAGCCACCGTGCAGGTGTTTTGCATCTGTTAATAAGACTACCTCTTTTTTGTTCTCATATCTTCACGATCAGCTCATGGTTTTACCATGGCAGGGGGCTAACTCTATCCCAGCCACCGAGATGTAGCTGTGGTCTTTCTTGCATAAGCCCCTCAAGAGCTCATGAGGGGAGTGCAGCTGGCCAGTCTTTACTATCCAGAGCCCTGCCCCTCCTCTTCCCTATCCAGCTTGGTCATATTCCTCAGTGTTCTAGATTTTGCCTTGTCAACCCTTTATGATAGTTTGAATGAGAAATGTCTCCCATAGGCTAAGGTATTTGAATACTTGGTACTGGGTTATTGGCTCTGTTTGGGGAGGCTTGGGTGGTGCAGCGAGGATGGAGGAAATACATTTTCCAAAGCAAAGCTTCCTGGTCCCTCTCTCTGCTTTGTGCTTGTGGTTGAGGGTGTGACCTCTCAGCTTCCTGTTCCCATTGCCATGCTTCTCCACCATGATGGAGAACTCTTATCCCTCCCTCCGGAACCCTGAGCCCAAATCAACACTTTCATCGGTAAGCTACCTTGGTCATGGCATTTGGTCACAGGAGCAGAAAGGTAACTCATACACCCCGAATCTCCCTGTTCAACCCCAGTTTCTGTTCTCACTAAAACAAGTGAGCTGCCTGTAGTCTTCCCGGTGGCCCCCTTCCCTTGCTACCTAAAGAGAACTTGCTTCAGAATGACCTCAAACAGAGTAGGAAAGAAGACGTGGTCTTTTGTGAGCCCAGGACACAGATGATCTGGGGGAAGAGTGAGTGCTTCCTTTGATCCTAAAAGATCCTTTCTTGAAAGCAGCAAAGCCTCCTCCACTCTACCAAGGCCCTCTGAGGAGCCCATGGGCCTTCAGGGAGGAAGAACCAGCTGGTCTAGGAGGTAGGAAAAGGGATTTTGTGTTAGATGACATTGACCCTAGAGTGACCTTGACGTTTCTGTGAAAGTGTGACCCTAAAATCTATTTTGTGGCCCTACTGGAAAGAAAAGCACCAAATCGAGCTGTACCGTGTACTCCACTTTTGGCACACCAAAAAATTCTAGTAGTGAAAGGCTTGTGCCTGTAATTGAAAATACATGTGCCAAAAATGTGAATAATGAAACTTCTCAATAACCATTTAAAGGTGACAGTTGGGTAGGTGGATACCAGATGGCCACTTAAGAATAATTGCTGGGCGAGTTTTAAAGGTGCAAATTGCTATTCAAAGAGCCCTGGATTTTAGACAAACTCCCACAGACATCTTGAGAACATAGCCTCCAGCTGGATGAGTAATGAGGTCCAATTCATCAGGGGTCAGTCCTATGCGGGTAGGGGAGTATCCTTCATTATTTGTAGCTTAATGAATTATGGCTTTTGTGTGCTCGGTGACTGTGCTGGTTCTTTGCTCTTCACTCTTGACCAGCACTTCACAGAGGGCATGTAGATTATCCAAGTCATAGCTTTCAACAATAAATATCAGGTGCCAGGTTTTCTTCTTAGGAATTTGGGAACACGTCCAACAATGGGCTGAGGCTTGTTATCCATATACGAGGCATGTGCGCTTGCTCTAATTACATTAAGTAGCTAGTACTAGGCAGGGTAGGTGGTTGGGGACACAGAAATACCCTCTATGGCTTAAAGTAAAGGCCGTCAGGTTTTGGTCCATTAGCACAAATCATTCAGTTTTATGAACTACAATGAGAGTATTACATACACAGGCATCACATAAGAAATGACTTTTCTTTAGCTCTGCCATGCTCACCAGACATTCAGGCCTTGCACAGAATGGCTGCTCTAGTCTTACAGAGAAGAAAAGAACAGAAAGCTTTACTGGAAAACAAGTGACGTAAGGCAGGTGCAGTTGAGTTGAGTTCCCTGGAGTCACTCGTGACCAGAGGACATCCACAGGTGTGCCAGGCCCTGGGGAATCACTGGAGCCCGGGAGCAAACCTTGACTGCTGGGCGTCACTCCACCCCCAAATTGCCTTCTGTACTATGTATTGTTACTGAGAATAATTGACCTATAGCATCTAAGAAAATAAGCTCATGACTCTTAAGTAATAGGCTTGCCTACAATAACAGCAATAATAATAATGGCATTTATTTTGTTCACCAACCCCAAAATTTAAGACCTAACTCTCTGAAGAGATTTGTGCGTAACTCACTCGAGCAAATCCATTTTCCCTTGGCAAAGAAAGTGCTGGATGATGCCCAGTTACATTGGATCACAGTTTTTCAGTCAATAACTGGTTTAAGTTAGCTACCTGAAGTAAAAAAAAAAAAAACCTGCCTGCATATTTAAATTCTAGACAGATAGCCCTGTGGAAGTGAGAGGGCGTGTCTATGCTTGTAGTGCACAGGCTGTGCCAAAATGGGAACCAGAGGAGGCAACAGGAATAGGCACATCTTTCAAACACTAGGAAGGCACTCGCACAATGAAGCGTGCATCTGTGGATGTATATACTGGTGTCAGTTATGGGTGTACTGGGTGTGCCTATCACCCCTCACTTGCTGTGAATCAAAAAATAAGAAATCTCACTTTGTATCCGCGAGTCTCAAACTTTGAATTGGGCTCTTCTAGCTGGATTCCCCTCCTGAAGACAATCTGCATGCATCTATTTTTAGATAACTGTTGTAAGCATCAGAGCCATATAAGACATGACAGAACACAATCCATCATTTTGCAGCAAAGCCCAAACCCAAATAATCTTGCGCTGCTGCTGTTAAAATTGCTCCAGTTCTGTGAGGTCAGAGTAGTTCTTGTTCTCTCTGAGCAGTTCTATAAACAAAACTTCACAAGAGGATGTCTACGAAGTAAATGTTTAAAGGCATATCTGGCTATAAAAATAGTCCATTAATAAATATTTAGGAAAGTAAAGTGCTTCAGAATACAGAATCACAATGAGCAAGGCCTAGTAAGGGAGAAAAAGAGGATACGGGTTGGACCTCAGCTGTAGGGAGCTTGCTTGGCATGTGTGAGACCTGGGACTGTCCCCTGAACTTCAAAATAAACAAACAAAACCTCTCTAATTAAAAATGTTGAATAAACATCTATTAACAGGCATAGCAATAAGCTATTAACTGCTGAATCTATTTTAATTTGTTGTTTCAACGTGATGCCTAATCATGGTTGTCAACTTGACTGCATCTGGAATCAACTAAAACCCAAGCTGCTGGGCACTCCTGTGAGGGATTTTCTTAATCAAATTATTTGAAGCAGGGAGACCCACCTTAAATGTGTGTTGTGTATGGCATCTTCTGGTGACAGTCCACATAAAAGGACGTGGAAGAAGAAAACTCTGCTTTCTTCCCGCTTGCCCTCACTCTCGCTGGTAAGTTCATCTATCCTGCTGCTGCAGCATCCCTTCACATGATCAGAATCAACTTCTTCAGGATTCCAATGCAGACTAAGAGCAGCAGCTTTCCAGGAACCCTTCAGTTTTCAGGCCCAGACTGGGGCTCCTGAGACATCCAGCCTGGTGTGCTGTGGGACAGTGGCCTAGTACCCTGTAATGATTTGTCACATGTATTGATTTAATAAAATGCTGATTGGCCAGTAGCCAGGAAGGAGGTATAGGTAGAGTGACCAGAATAGGAGAGTTCTGGGAAGAGAAAAGGCTCAATCTTCAGTCGTCACCCAGACCAAGAGGAAACAAGATGAGAATGCCTCACTGATAAAAGGTACCAAGCCACGTGGCTAACACAGACAAGAATTATGGATTAATTTAAGATGTAAGAATTAGTTAATAAGAAGCCTGAGCTAATAAGCCCACAAGTTTATAATTAATGTAGTCTTCTGTGTGTTTCTTTGGGACTGAATGGCTGTGGGACAAGGTGGGACAGAAACCTCTGTCTACAAATAGCACCCAATGTGGGGAAACCACATCCACATAAAACCTGAGAGAGCTTGGGAAGTAATTCTAGACACAAAAGAACAGAGTTAAGCTTCTTGGTGGCAGCATTTTCTCTGGTGTGTTCTGTTTGCAAGAGACAAGTGTGTAAGAGAGGCTTCCTGACTCAGCTTTAGCTGCAAAAACCTTGTAGTCCTTTTAAGAGACCCTGACCCTGCCACAAAACACTTAAATGATGATTATGAACAGCCAACTTACATGCTTCATAGTGGTGGCAGAGAGCTTGAAACTTCATAGAGTTGTGGCAATAAACATGGCTCCTGCCAGTACCTCTACCATGAAGCTAGACTCTCAGAAAGCTAAAGAAAGGGGTGGATCCAGCTGTCAAAGCCATAGCTTTAATCCTAGCCATATCACTTAGCAAATTAAAGACTCATGTAGTCAGAAAAAGAGAGATATATAGATTCAGAGAAAAAAAAACTCTAAATGGTTTACAGTATGTTTAAAAGTATATGTAGGCTTGGGAGAAAAAAGAAAAAGGATACAGTCTTTTTTAAAAAAGAAAAAGAGCAGTTGGGTGTGGGGCACACACCTTTAATACCAGCACTTGGGAGTCAGAGGCAGGCAGATCTCTGTGAGTACAAGCCACATAAAGATGAAAAATATACATAGAATACTGTGTTGTCTTTGGATTGTTTGATGGCTGAGGAAGAAAGAACAGCTGCTAAATAACATTTGATTATAATTATTATAACATATATTTTGAAAATGTCTTGACTTCAAATTTTAAGTCAAAAGATATGTTACTTTGGAGAAGAGGTTTTGCTTTTGTTTTCACAGTAAATAAAAACATTTGCTCATTCTGGGTAAAGAAAAATCAGGTTTGATAAAGGAAGACACCCCCTGAAAAAAATCCCTGACAGTAGTGGATGGCCCAGATGATCCAACATTTTAGAGGATTTCTATTGGAGTTTCCTCTGAATTCTACATCCAGAACAGCCTCAGAACTGTTTAGTTGAGGGACTGGAGAGATGGCTCAGTGGTTAAGAGCATTGCCTGCTCTTCCAAAGGTCCTGAGTTCAATTCCCAGCAACCACATGGTGGCTCACAACCATCTGTAATGGGGTCTGCTGCCCTCTTCCGGCCTGCAGACATACAGACAGAATATTGTATACATAATAAATAAATAAATATTTAAAAAAAGAAAGAAAAAAGACTGTTTAGCTGAGATGATCAAGCCTCACAGAATATTCCAATTAGGACTTGACCATAATCTTAAATTTTCTTTAGGTCCCCATAAGATTATCAGTGGCCCCATTCAGCAGGAAGTAGCTTGGAAAACTATACCCATATCCCCAAAAAATGGATTATGGATGTTTGTCTCTGTTTAGCATGTTGGTTACAAGTTGTTATGAATAATGGTCAGGAAGAAAGCTAAACAAATGAGATTAGATTCAGAGTTTTTGTTTTGGATAAAAAAGGGGGGAGGATAGTGCTGTGGGACAATGGTCTTGTAAAGATTTATCACTTGTATTGGTTTAATAAAACATTGATTGGCCAGTAACCAGGCAGAAAGTATAGGCATGTGACCAGAATAGGAGAATTCTGGGAAGAGGAAAGGCTCAGTCTGTAGTCATTACCCAGACCAAGAGGAAGCAAGATGAGAATGCCTCACTGATAAAGGTACCAAGCCACATGGCTAACACAGACAAGAATTATGGACTAATTTAAGATGTAAGAATTAGCTAATAAAAAGCCTGAGCTAATAGACCAATCATTTTATAGTTAATGTAGTCTTCTGTGTGTTTCTTTGGGACTGAACGGCGGGACAGAAACCTCTGTCTATACTTGTAGACTCTCCAGTGTGAGACAGCCATTGTTGGGGTATGCAGACCACATCCTGTGGGTCAATCTAATTATCACTGTCTTAGTTAAGGTTTTCTGTGCATGGTTACAGAAGACTTTCTACCTTGAGGCTTGCCTTTGGGTTTGGCAAAGTCATCCACACAGCAAAAAGCTGCCTTTTACCTCTTTAGCTTTCTGGATGTCACCTGGGGAATTGATCTTCTCATCCTGCCAAGACAGGTAGACTAAATCTTCCCTGCCACAGGAAAGTCTTAGAGCCTCTTGTACTTGGCAACTAATGGCAAACACTGCCTCTAAGGCTGGTGTTCTCCAAGGACTAAGGAGAGACTTGGGATTGCTGATGTTTGGTTGGAAGTGAGACCCCAGCCCCCTAACATCCCTATATCCAAGGAGTCTGGGATGTTTCGTTGGAAGCAGCACCCCAGCTCGCTAACACCTCTCATACAAAGAGTCTGGAATGTTATAGTCAGGGGCTTCATCCCAGCCCCTGGCACCCATCTTTGGAATACTGGGCAGGAACTCCATTTCAAGCCCTCTCCCCTGGGAGTTGCCCTGGTCTGGACTCCACCTCTGGGAAAGCCCGCAAAGCAGTGACCCCTCCCCAGGGCCCAGGGAGGGCCAAGAGAGCTTGCCAAGTGGTGACCCCTCCCCAGGGAGGGTCAGGACCACTTCCACAAGCTATTTAGGCTGCCTCCCAGAAAATAAACACGTGGTCACGGGGTTTGCATGGTCTCCCCTTTCCTCTCTTCCCTCACCATGCTTTGCCGGTGCTACCCAGGAGTGCTGCATTAAACATGGGCTTCTTTTATTAGGTCTAATTTTGTCTGATTGGAATTATTTGCATGAGCACAGAGGCTCATCTTAAGAAATATTCTTAACATTTATAGCTGTGAAAAGAAACTGTGACCACAGAAACTCTTATAAAGAAAACATTTGGGCTGGAGAGATGGCTCAGAGGTTAAGAGCACTGGCAGCTCTTCCAAAGGTCCTGAGTTCGATTCCTGGCAACCACATGGTGACTCACAACCATCTGTAATGAGATCTGGTGCCCTCTTCTGACTTGCAGACAGAATACTGTATATATAATAAATAAATAAATCTTTTTAAAAATTTTTAAAAAAAGAAAACATTTAATTGAGGTGGCTCGCTTACAGTTTCAGAGGGTTCTGTCCATTATTGTCATGGATGTAAACATGGAGGTATGCAGGCAGACATGGTGCTGGAGCTGACAGTCCTTACATCTGACTCAGAGGCAACAGGAAGTCAGTTGTCACACTGAGTGAAGCTTAAGAAAAAGACCTCAAAATCAGACCCCACAGTGACATACTTCCTCCAACAAGATCACACCTCCTAAAAGTGCCACTCCCTTTTGGGAGCCATTTTCTCTCAAACCACCACAGTCCCCTTTTAATGTGTGTGTGTGTGTGTGTGTGTGTGTGTGTGTGTGTGTGTATGTATGTATATATATGTGTATGTGTGTATATGTATATATTCATTCTACTGGTTCTCTTCCTTTAGAGAACTTTAATCTAAACTTATTCAAGGAAGGTATGGGAATTCTAAACTCATAGCAAACTCAAACGTACCACAAGTGAAACAAATGGAAATAGACAATTGAAAGGCAATGGGAAGGGAATGAGGAGGTGAAGGCATTTTTGAGTCAGGGTAGGAAGAAATTACTGGCACCTGGGAAAGAAAAGCTGCCCCCTCACCCTAGACTCTAGTTGAAGCCTCTTGCCAGTAGACTGGCAATCCCAACACTAAAAATTTGCTCTGAAGGCTGCAAGCGTAGAATAAGTACTCCTTTCATATAAGACACTTATATAAGACGTTAAACAAACAAACAAACAAACGCCTTTAATCCCAGCACTCGGGAGGCAGAGGCAGGTGGATATATAAGGCCAGCCTGGGCTACAGAGCGAGTACTAGGACAGGCTCCAAAGCTACATAGAGAAACCCAGTCTCGAAAAACAAAAACAAACAAACAAAAAACCCAAACACAAACAAAAACAAAGCAACAACAATAAAAAAAAACAAACAAACAATGACCCAGGCTTCTGGCCTGGATATGTACGACCTTAGATGTGGCCTCATCCCTTTCCCAAGACATCTGGAAATCTCAAACCCAACTGTCACAGTGAAAATGGCTGTGTCCCTGCCAGCTAATCCTGTTTGGTGCCCCTAAGGTTCCATCAAGTGACTTCATTTGCTTTCTTAGCAACGTTTTTTTTTTTTTATGACATTTGCTACAAACCCCACCAAAGCATTAAAGGTGGCTACTGCAAACACAAACAGCAGCCTGCTGTGAGCTGCGAGTGTCCCCCTGAGAGCTGGTGCCCACCCTTGGGGATGACTCACTCTCTGGGATTCTTCTTTAAGAAGCCCAAGGCCTGGCTCTCAGGTGAGGATCTCCTCTCTAACCTCCTGCTTAAGCCTTCATTCAAGTAACTTCCTCAGATCCCAAATCTACTGCATTCTGCCTAGTCCCGAAGTTCCTTTCTGCATCCAAGTCACAGATAGGGCCTGCCCTGAGCCGAGGTCCCCTGAAATGCTAAGGGCAGCTGAGGGTGGCAAGAGGGAGCTGTGCCTGTACCCCAGGAAGCTGGTGTTCCAACTGACTGCTCTAGAGAGGATAACCAAGTGAAACACACAGACACCATGCCCTTGGGTGGTGGGGTTTTAAGTTGCTTTTTAAAAAATATATTTAAAGGAGCGAAATACTGGGAGGTTGCTTTATATACACTAAGCCACAAGCAGGGACTTGGCTACTACCTCATAGCTTGTTTACACTCCACTGTTACTGGGTGCCAGACACACCATGGAGGAAGTGCAGGGGTAGATGGCCCCCAAGCCAAGATTTGCCCTCCTTGTGCTCGGAGAGAGGGTCCCTGAAGGGGGGTGGAATCCCAATCTGTGCTGGTAACATGAATCAAAACAAGCTGTTCCCTTGTCTCAGACATTGGAGTTCAAGTTAGATGTCTGGTTTTCCTGGGGCCGGTTCAATTATCCCTGGGATCCCCACTCACCTCAAAATCCAAGTCTTGGGCCAATAGGAACAGTAGGTCACTGGCTGGACAGAGTGGCCAGCCAGAGAGGAGGAGCTAGCAGGCTCTGTAACCAGGCTCTGGTGGTGGCAGACAGCATCTGGCCAGCTGTGTAAACACGAGTTAATTAGCATATTGATGATAAGGATGAGCAGGGAGCGCCCCACCGAGAAGGTGCTGTTAGTCTCTGTCAATCAGAGTGAGCAGGGCCTCCCTTCCAGGTGGCGGTTCACCTTTGTCTCTAAAGCTCAGGTAGCCTCCCTCACTTCCCTTCAGGTACCCACACCAGGTAACATTTGCTGTGACCTTTCTGTTGCTTGTCACCTGGGAGGGCTGACTTGTGGGCCATCTGCTTTTGATTTTTTTCTAACTCAACCTTTCTCCTTTGTCTTGGAGAATGGCTCCATTTCCACCCCTTTCCCTTATTCGCCTGCTGGTTGTTTATTCTTGTTCTGTTTTCTATTCGAGCAGTGTCCTCACTCCATTTTTCCCTTTCCTTGTCTGGACTTTAGTCTTTTGACGCTAATAGTGGCTACAAGAAAGATTTAAAGGGCCATTCTCGAAGGAGATTCACCATCTTAGTCGACAAGAAATATGTTTCATGATAAATCGCCTTCTGCAAGGGAAGGAGCGGCGTTCAGAGAGTCCTTCCTCTGCGCCAACTGTGCTCAAGATAATCTAATCTATAGCCACCAGCACCCGCGTGCTACCGTGAGATTGCTTCTTCCTGCACTGTTTTCTCTTTTTATTTCATCCAGCACCCTAGTCCGTGGGATGGAGCTCCCTACAATTAGGATAGGTTTTCTGGCTACCTCAGTTAACCCAAACCAGAAATTCTCTCACACATGCGTGCAGAGGCTTAAACAATCGATAGACCACAGACACCAAGCATGAGGTACAGCGAGATGGAGCTGACAGCCTGTAGCAGTGGGGGAGAACCTAAGAAGTTTCAGTGAGAAGAGGAGACAGTTTTCAGAGTGGAAATGCTGTAGCACGGCCAACCCTGTGAACACCAGGGAGTCAAATATGTACAGTGGGTTCAGAAGCACCAAGGCAGATGACTGTATTCAAGGGGCATTTTCAAGGTGGTGGGAGGGGACATACAGAGCAGGGGGAAAGCCAAGGAGCCCAAGGCAAATGACAGTTCTCTCCTGTCCTGGCTGATCCAAGCCTACAAGTTCCCCCAGGTCACTGTTTTTTAAGACTCAGACTCTGAATGGGTCATAGTGGCCTTCTCATACAGCATGAAGAGGTAGCTCCAGGCCAGTGTGATACAGAACAAGTTCCTGGCCAGCCAGGACTCAATGAGACCCGTCTTGAAAAGAATCAAGACCCTGGAGGGAACACACTGGCTTTGGTTAGTGTCTTAGTTAGGGTTTTATTGCTGTGAAGAAACACCATGACCGTAGCAACTCTTATAAAGGAAAATACCTTATTGGGCTGGCTTATCTGGTGGAGAGCATAGTAACGTGCAGGCAGACATGATGCTGGAGAGGTGATTGAGAGCAGGCAGACATGATGCTGGAGAGGTGATTGAGAGTCCTACGTCCAGACCCACAGGCAGCAGGAAGTGACTGTCACACTGGGCCTGGCTTGAGCCCTCAAAGCTCATCCCCTAGTAATGTCCTTCCTCCAATAAAGCCCCACTGTTCCAACAAGGCCACACTGCCTGAAAGTGCCACTCCTTCTGAACCTAATGAGGGCCATTGTCTTTCACTACCTACCACCACAGTTAGATATAGCATAAGTATTTCAGAATCAAGTGTTTAGATCTGACCTTATTGGTTCCTATCATGTGACCTGGGGAGACCCTACTCACCCCAGATAAGGATCCCACAACAGACCAAAATATGGATATCACCAAAGTCAACTTGATAAACCAATGAGTTTTATTGGGGTGACTTACAGGAGCAGAAATAACCCAATGATAGCTAATCACCAAAGCCCATGCCAGAATGGGTGGCAGCTCACAAAGCTGGGAACCTAGGGGACACTGTACACCATGAAGGTAGCTCAACAGCTCGGAGAGTGTCCTTTCCAAGTGCCTCACTTGATCTAGACCACTTCCAGGCAGCTAGTCTGGTCCCAGAGTCCTCTTTGCAACTCGGTTCTTCTAAGTCTTCTTTGCAGCTTTCATTGCTTACTATGGCGGAGAGAGGCCAGTGAAGCTGCTCAGTTTCAGGGACTTCCTGAAGCTATTTTGAGTTGTTTACCCTCCTATATCTAATCTTGGAGGAAACTGCTGCACAGCATTTTCTCAGTACTGGCTCCATCCTGAGAAGGAGCCATCACCCCTTAGGTCATCCACACCTAAGCTGGAGCCTTGTTCATCTCATGTGTCCCCTCACAGACTCTGAAATGAGCAGGTTCTGCCTCAGTGACATGTACATTGCTGTGTCGTTTGATTGATCCCACAGGCTAATCTTGCTTCTGTGTCAGCAAGAAGCAACTCAGTGTCCCCTGGTATATCCTGCCTTCTTCTCATCTGTCTTCCTTATTCTGGATAAAGGGACTTTTGAATGACAGATCTTGTCATGTTTTGTTTTGTGTCTGTGCTTTAAGTCTAGAGAATCAAGGCCACAAACATAGAAACAAAGAGAAATTTCTAAGAACGTGAAGAAAAAGGTACTATCTCCACAAGATGAATTCTGTCCTCTGGATGAAGTGAATAAATTTATATTCCTACACAGGACACTTATTCATAATTCGCCCTGCTTTTTTTGTGTTGAATTGCCAGTGACTTAAAGGTAAAAAATAGTGAACATTCTTCTCAGTGAATTTCATAAACTTGGGATACAAATCTCACTTCATTATTACAAGGTTTTTAAACATTTGAGCTTTTAAAAATGGCTTTGTGACCTGGTGTTAATAATTGATAACCAAATCCCTCTTGGATACACATGTGTCTACAATGAGCTAAAGGAACAATTTGTTTGTTTTCATTTTTGAAAAGGCTCGGTGGGTAACAGCACCTGGTACTTTGTCTGATAACCAGAGTTCTAAGACCGGGATCTACATGGTAGAAGGAGATAATAGATTCCTGAAACTTGTCCTCTGACCTCCACTCCGTGCTGTGGCACACACACCCGCACACGTATGTGCACACACCCATAAATAAACTAAAGTAATGTAGTGATGAGGTATGGGCAGGCCTGCTTTTCATCCCGCCCAGCTCCCGCATGGTTAGCTTTACACCCCAAAATAACAACACACAAATTGTATTCTTTTAAACACTGCCTGGACCATTAGTTTCAGCCTCTTATTGCCTAATTCTCACATCTTGATTAACCCATTTCTAATAATCTGTGTAGCACCACTAGGTGGTGGCTTACTGGGAAAGATTCAGCATGTCTGACCTGGTGGCTGGCTCCATGGCGTCTGACTCACTTCCTTCTTCCTCCCAGCATTCTGTTCTGTCTTCCCCGCCTACCTATGTTCTAACCTATCAGGCCAAGCAGTTTTCTTTGTTAATTAACCAATGAAAGCAACAGATAGACAGAGCACCAGTCAATGGAGCCCTGGGAGCTCTCAGCTGAGAGATGCAGGCTACCTTGGAGAAGTTGCCCAGACATTAGCCTCCTACAGTTCCAAGCCACTGCCTCTGCCCTGGGGGACTGCAAACCAATAGCAGACATTTTAACCTTCTGCTGGGCACAGTGGTGCATGCTTGTGATCTCAGCACTCAGATGCCAAGACAGGAGAATGGTGAGTTTGAAGCAAACCTGAACTTCACAGCAAGGTCAATGTCAGCTTGTGCCACACTGAAACTGCCAAAAAGAAGGCAAGAAAGATGAGTTTTTTAAAACATGCAATATGTAATCACATGCTTTGGTGCCTAAAAGAATCTCTCCCATGATAGATACACCCACAACTACACTTTGAGAGTCTAAATTCTGGAATGTCCACCCTGTTTGTGTAGAGTTGGATGTTGTCAGCCTCCCAGAAGCACAACCACAAGAGTGCTTTAACTTATTTAATTATTTGTTTTTATTTCCTGTTAATTTGTGCTTTGCCTGTATGTATGTCTGTGAAAATGTCAGATCTCCTGAAACTGGAGTTACAGACAGTTGTGAGCTGCCATGTGGGTGCTGGGAATTGAACCTGGGTCTTCTGAAAGAGCAGTCAGTGCCCTTAACTGCTGAGCCATCTCTCCAGACCTGAGAGTAATTTCTTAATGGATAATAGGATATAAACATGAAAAAAGGCTTCCATCAAGGGTGAGACACCCATACACACCAGAACCTAGGAGTGCACAGCGCCCTTAACTTTTTGGATGTTGTAAACCACTCGAGGAGCTGCGTGTGTGGCAGCTATAATCCTAACACTTGGGAAATGGAAGCAGGGCAATCACTAATTCAAAGTCATCTCTGGATGCATAGAGTTGGAGGCCAGTCTCAAATAAACAAATTTCTAAACAGGCACACACGCATGCATGCGTGCACACACACACATCAAACCAAAGCAACGACAACAAAACCCACATGTGGTCCAGAATCACCAGCAAGAAACGGTTCATTTAACGCTCATCTTATATCTGTTTCCCTGTGACTTCACGCAGAGTGGGCAATGAAAATAAAAATGTGGTTTTAGGCGGCTGAAAGGTAGAGAAAGCTCTTATCACAGGAGAGAAAAAGAGGAAGGGTAGGCAGGAAAGAGGACAGTGGGAAGGAGAGGGGGAGCCAGGGATTATGAATATGCCCTTTACAGCATCTTGAGCAGCACGCGTGGAGAGAGGAGCTCTGCCCACCAGTAGGTGGACCAGCAAAACAGAAGAAAAGCCTACAGATGGTGTTGTGCAGCTATTTCCTCTGAACTGAGACATTCTCTCCTGGGGGAGGAGGGAGGTGCTTAAGACTGGGGAAGTAAAGGAACCTTGCAAGGCTAGGGCAGCCTGCAAAGCCTCTAGGTTCCCAGGCTCTGCTGGGAAGGTGAGCAATAAACAGTGGCTGCTAGGAGGTGTCTTCAGTGCAGATGTCTGAAGCTGGGCAGCCAGCTCCAGGGACACAGCTTTTGGGAGTGCTCACT